GTCCCTTCTTCCTGGGGTGTCCCCCTAGGTGCCCCCCTTGCTCTGACCACTGGCGCCCCTTTCTGTGAATCTTCCGATTCACTGGAAAGACTCAGAGATCTCGGGCCGCTGTCATCGCTCATATTTCCTTCGGATTCCTCCCCCTCGCTCTCTGTTTCCTCCCTTTCCTGTGCCTCTGCTCCTGAACCCCTGACAGGAACGTTCTTGTGAAATTGTTTCCTAGGCAGGCACATTATGTGACCCAGGAGAGCAGCAAAATAACCAGACTACACAACGGTGATAGGATAAAATCAGGCCAAATCTTTATTGACAGCAGCAGGCAGGGTAAGGGTTGGCCTGGCATTGGGTCCCAGGATCAATTCATTATTCCATAAGTCCCATGTTGATGGGAAGCATCCACTGGGTTTGGATCACTCCAAAACTGTTCCATGGGAGTTGGTCAGTGTTGACCCTTGCTGTGGTGACCAGGGTGCAGATTCCTAACAGGCAGACACCACAGCACCAAGCTTGGGGGTGCCGTGCTCAATCTTTCCCTCAGGGCCCCCCTTATACTATGCCCAACGCGATTTCCCCCCTCATACACACAACATTCTTCGCCTAAGAAAGGCCATAATTTCACTGAGCTAAAGAGGGGTGGGAGAACAACCCAACCAAGTTCCATTCAAGCCCTGTCAGCCATTGACCCAAAATTGCTCAGTGAAGTTTATAATTTGCCGTTAGGTGGGCAGGAAGCTCTCAAGGCAAAATGGACCTGAGCTCCAGGGGAAGCAGCCTTATATAGGCTTTCCCATCCCCTCTGCATGGGACAGCTTTTTCTATCCCACCACACAAACATGATCGTGGGTGAAACCTTGCCCAGTATTTTGCTGCAATCTGTGGACCACAGTGCCGCGGGGCAAAGGTGCCCCATGCTTCTTGGGCATGGAACGAGGCATATTGGAATTAGCTAAATGAACACTATTTCTGCAGTTCTCCATGTTATCTCTAATAAAGAAAGGTAGCTACAGCAGAAAAGGCCTTCACAGGTTTATTGACATATGAGATCAGCATATCTGTGGGATATGTGGCTTTGTCAAGTACCTCCTCTCCCTCGGTCAAGTGAAGGTGTCTTTCTACATACAGATTTCCACAAGATCTAGGACCTTGAAAGAAGATTTCCCACAAAAATCATTGTTTCTGGTGACCCGGAAACTACAACTAATCCAGAATGTGGCATCTAGACTGGTGACTGGGAGCGGCCGCCAAGACCATATAATACTGGTCCTGAAAGATCTACTTTGGCTCCCAGTATATTTCCGAGCACAATTCAAAGTGTTGGTGCTGACCTTTAAAGCCCTAAACGGCCTCAGCCCAGTATATCTGAAGGGGCGTCTCCACCCCCATCATTCAGCCCAGACATTGAGGTGCAGCGCCGAGGGCCTTCTGGCAGTTTCCTGAGAGAAGTGATGTTACAGGGAGCCAGGCAGAGGGCCTCCGCAGTATTGGCACTCGCCCTGTGGAATGCCCTCCCATCAGATGTCAAAGAAATAAACAACTACAGTGGTACCTTGGTTTAAGAACAGCTTAGTTTATGAACAACTTGGATTCAGAACGCTGCAAACCCGGAAGTAGGTGTTTTGGTTTGTGAATTTTGCCTTAGAAGCAGAACATGTTCCGCTTCCTGTTGAGTGTGTTCCATTTGTAAATTGAGTCCCCTGCTGCTTTGGAAAAGCACACCTTGGTTTAAGAACATTTTGGTTTAAGAATGAATTTCCAGAACGGATTAAGTTCGTAAACCAAGGTACCACTGTATCTGATTTTAAAAGACATCTGCAGCCCTGTTTATGGAAGTTTTTAACGTTTGATGTTTTATTGTATTTTTAATATTTTGTTGGGAGCTGCCCAGAGTGGCTGGGGAAACCCAGACAGATGTGCAGGGTATAAATAATAAATGATGATGATGATGATGATGATAATTTATTTATACCCCGCCCATCTGGCTGAGTTTCCCCAGCCACTCTGGGCGGCTCTCAATCAAGTGTTAAAAGCAGTATATTAAAATATTAAAAACTTGCCTGAACAGGGCTGCCTTCAGATGTCTTTTAAAGATAGGATAGCTGCTTATTTCCTTCACATCTGAAGGGAGGGTGTTCCACAGGGTGGGCGCCACTACTGAGAAGGCCCTCTGTTTGGTTCCCTGTAACCTCACTTCTCGCAATGAGGGAACCGCCAGAAGGCCCTCGGCACTGGATCTCAGTGTCCGGGCTGAACGATGATGATGATGATGACTGGAGTATGTTGTCAGCAGTATGCTGATGACACTCAGCTCTATTTCTCCTTTACATCTGCAGGTGAGGCAGTGGAAATGCTGCCTTGCCTTGCCTTGATAATGGACTGGATGAGAGCCAACAATCTGAAGTTCAATCCAGATAAGACTGAGGCACTGTTAGTGGGTGGTTCCCTAGACCAGAGGGTGGAAGATCACTTGCTCTTGATGGGGTTACACTTCCTCTGAAGGAGCATGTTCGTAGCTTGGGAGCATTATTATTATTATTATCATCATCATCATCATCATCATCATCATCATCATTATCCACATTTATGACAATGGATTTCAGTTTGCAAATATGGGGAAGGCAATACCTGCCATGGCTGCAGACTTTGATGTTCCCATTTGCCTCCTTCACCCACCACCAGCATCTGGCGTGACCTAGTTGACAAAGCAGCATTTAAGGCCTGAGCCACGGCATGAACACTGATGTAAGTGCTGTAGCTGTCCGTGGACAGGGCTCTCTCCAGCTCCTCTTGGGGCAGTGTCTCCAGTTTTTCCTTCTCTCTGCATCTTGTCCGACCTTTCACAGACAGCCCAGGGTTTGAATATGAACAACGAAATGCTTCCTCAAAAAATTCCCCGAGAAGATTACTATGTTCATCATAACCCTGTTGGGTGCTTCTTATTTCTGTATTTATTACAAAGGAGAAAGAACCATGGATGTACTGGAAGTAACGAGGGGGGAAAGATAAGATGAAGTTGATTTCCTGAAAAGCTGTTGTGATCCAGACTTTCTCTCCTATTAGCTTCTTATATGCTTTGTGCAGCTTCACAGACACAAGGAGAAACAGGGGATCAGTTACATGGTAAACTAATACATTGACTTGTCTCCAGATGGATAAAGTTTCGCTTGTACTAGTTATTAAATTGTGATTATTCTCTGATATCCTTTTGGAGAAGGCAATGCAAATCCCTCTGCTGACCAGCATAGGTGTCAAAGCACCCACAAACCTCTCTCCACTGTCATTGTCTGGAGCAAGGAGGCCGATCCATGTCCATCTGAAATGCAAGAGTAACTCGACAATCCCCTGGTACTGAGTTTCTTCTCTGGGTACCATGCGGTAGACAAAAGGGAACTGGGTTTTATCTTCAAGAACCTGGGCAACGAAGCCATAACTGATCTAGTGAGGAAAGGAAAATGTATTTGTTTTGCTTTGCTTTCAATATAATAAACAAATATTTATTAAGCTATTGATAAAAGTAAAGGGACCCCTGACCATTAGCTCCCGTCGTGACTGACTCTGGGGTTGCAGCGCTCATCTCGCTTTATTGGCTGAGGGAGCCGGCGTACAGCTTCCGGGTCATGTGGACAGCATGACTAAGCCGCTTCTGGAGAACCAGAGCAGCGCACGGAAACGCTGTTTACCTTCCCGTCGGAGCGGTGCCTATTTATCTACTTACACTTTGATGTGCTTTGAACTGCTAGGTTGGCAGGAACAGGGACCAAGCAACGGGAGCTCACCCCGTCGCGGGGATTCGAACCACCAACCTTCTGATCAGCAAGTCCTAGGCTCTGTGGTTTAACATATAGTGATTGATATATAAGAAAATTTGCACTGGCAGGGACCAACGCCGGTTGTAGTTGGAAAAATCTGGAAGGTGCCAAGAGGGTGAAAGGCTGTGTTTTCAAAAAAAGAGCCGTAGGGCCATAGCTCATGATTTTCACATTTTTAAAAAATGTTCCTCCTTGACCCCAAAGAGAAAGTGTAGTTTTTTGTAGCTGAAATTTTACCCTGTCCCTGCATGCTCCCACCTTCATACCTGTGGGATTTTGTAGATGGCTGGCATTGCTGAAATATCTTTTGCACTTAAAGAATTGCCTCTTTCCAGAACAGCCAGAAGATGATTCTGCTCCCCACAGTTATAATTTGGAATATTGATTTCACCGCCTGCAAGTAGCTCTAGCATGGCACCAGAAGCCATCCTTGCATCTAAATAGTTCTCATAGAGATTGTAGCCCAGGGTGATGTTGGGTAAGAGTCTGAGATCCTGGTTGATCTCCTGGACGGTGAACAAGGCGGACAAGAAATGCCAATAGGAGATCAGCGTCTTGCTGCAATCAATCAATCAGTCAGTCATCAATGATCTGTCTCCACTAATGAAGAGAGCACATGGCCTATACTATATTTTATTATTTTATTTTATTTCCAAGCATATTTTAGCCCTGCCTTTCAGGCAAAAAAATAACCCAAAGCATCCTAAAATTTCACTTTTATGACAATCTCTGTCCTCAGGCTTATAATTTTAAAAGGCATGGCATAAAAGGAAATGGACTCTGGATGAAGGAGGAAAGCTTTTGTTCAGCTGAGAAGGATTTTCACATGATCTGCTCTTAGTTTAGTGTGGCATTCCTCAGAGAAGTTTATAATAATGCAGCATATAAATTGCAGAAACAAATTGCAAATAAATAAAATAATGGACGGTACCATGGAAATTGAGTTTCATGCCAGCTTCGCCTCCCTCCTGCAGGTGGGATAAACAAAAGCAAAACATCTGATCCACAATCAGATTCACTTCCATTCTCATGCCCATGTCTTCAAAAGGCAACAGTGCAGCAAAGCTAGGAGAATATTTCACCAGGGAAAACCCAGGGAGGGAGAAAATAAGTAAGTGTGCTAGGAACTCATTGCTGGACTCCAGCTCCTATCAACCTCTGACCCTCCAAGAATCTCAATTTTCCAGGGACAGCCACAGAATTATGAGAACCATCCCAGTTTCTGATTTGATCCCAAAATATCCCTATTTCCCCTGCCAGCCACCAGCCCCACACGACACACTGGCTCTGAGGACAGGGTCGAAAGGGGGAGAAGAGGGGAGAGAAAGGAGTCTCATTAAAACAAATGTTTTTGCATCTGCATCTAATCTTGGCCCTTTCTCCAAAGATGGAAAGAGGAAGCAGTCCCAACCAAAGAAGAATTGCAAACCAAGTTAATGGACTATGCTGAAATGGCGAAACTAACCGGAAAGCTCAGATATCAAGAAGACAAGAAATTTAAAAAAGAAGAATAATGGGAAATGTTTATTATGTATTTGCAAAAGTATTGTAAACAGGTTAATATATTTGCAGGATCTTAAGAGCACTTGTAATTTTAGAAATAGTATGGGAAATTTGAGGTAAAAATAATAGTAATTTGGAGAAGAAATAAAAAATTGTCCAGTATCACCTTAAAGGTAAAGGTAAAGGGACCCCTGACCATTAGGTCCAGTCGCGGCCGACTCTGGAGTTGCGGCGCTCATCTCGCTTTATTGGCCGAGGGAGCCGGTGTACAGCTTCCGGGTCATGTGGCCAGCATGACTAAGCCACTTCTGGTGAACCAAAGCAATGCACGGAAATGCCATTTACCTTCCCGCTGGAGCGGTACCTATTTATCTACTTGCACTTTGATGTGCTTTCGAAATGCTACGTTGCCAGGAGCAGGGACCGAGCAACGGGAGCTCACCCCGTCGCGGGGATTCAAACCACTGACCTTCTGATCGGCAAGTGCTAGGCTCTGTGGTTTAACCCACAGCGCCACCCGCGTCCCTTCCAGTAGCACCTTAAAGACCAACTAAGTTAAAGGTACTGCTGGACTATTTTTTAATTTTTTATTTTGACTGTGTCAGACCAACTGAATCTTGGAGTAAAAATGATATGAAGTTGAAAAGAAAAATTAAGGAACCAGGGTTGGGGGCGGGGAGGAAAGACATGGGATATTGTTTTTGTGTATATTTTTCCTTGATTGTGGTTGTGGTTGTTTTTTATTTTTGTTATTTTTTGTTGAACAAATAATAATAATATCATTAAAAATAATAATAAACAGAGCCCTTTCTAAAATTTATTTACTGGTGCATGTTTTTCTTTTTGTCAATCCACCAAAGAGTCAAATCAAATTGGGATCAAGAGGTTTTCTCAGGGTGGAGTGTGTTCTGTGTCCCATTCGGGCAGTAGTGGTGGCACTCTCCCTTCTTTTAATAGGAAATTCTCTGCAGGGGGGGCACGCCAAAATTGGGGGAGTCAAGTTGTGGTGAGTGAGAAATGCCCCTACTTTCATCTGAGGAATGTTGAAGTGTCAACCAGCAAAGCCAAAGGCCAAGGACGATGGGAGTTGCAGTCCAGCAACCTCTGAAGGGCCCCAAACCCCCCAGTCCTGAAATGGGGGCTATTTCCCTGCAAAATAGGAGAGCATGGCCACCACCTGCATATAATTACTTACTCCTCAATCCTGACAAAGGGAGTCTTGGAAAAGACATATGGTTGTAGTTTCCCAAACTGGCGTGGATGCATAATCCCACCAATCACGAAGTCTCCAGGCCGGTAGTAATTGAATGCTTCGTTTTGTTCCCTGATCAGATTCAAGGGGCATTTTGCCTTCAGTTTCCCACAGACTCCATGGGACAACAGCAGCAGCAACAGCAGCAGCATGGGTCTCATTCTGGCTTTGCCTCCTAAACTTCTTTTGTTGGTGGTTCCTCTCACCTCCAAAGCTTGCTAGCCAGAATCATCCATGGATTATTGCAGTACCAAAGCTGCAGTGACTTCCCCAGTTCTGGCAGGGCTCAGCTCGGTCTTCAGGCTTATACCCACCACCCCCGGCCTTTGATCTGCACTAAATGTTGACTCGGTCTGTCTCTGACACAGAAAATATTACCTGCGCTGACTCCCCCCCTCCCCCGGCACTGTGCAATTAACGATGTCACACTGTTGATGACCCTGGTGCTTAGGCAAGTCTTCAGAAACATCTCTTGAGCCTTTAGAAGAATAAATCACTATGATTTTCAGAATCATAAGTGGAAGATGTTTCACCTTGACAGCTTTCCGGAGTCTTCTATGGCTCAATGGGTAGGTGCGGAGCTAGGGGGAAATATGTTTGTGATGCATGCATCTCCAAAGTTTGACATGAGTCAAAGTCAGGAGGGTGGCAGGAGTTTGGGCTGAAGTTTGCTCACAAGGAACTAAGAAGAGCCCGGCAGCTGGATCAGATGAAAGGCTCATCTAGTCCAGCATCCAGCATCTCATGAAAGCAAATTAGACCGCTCTGGGAAGTGCACAGCCAGGGCTACAGGGTCCCTATGGGGCTGGTCACACTTTTTCAAGCACCATCATAGAGACTCGGGTGGCGCTGTGGACTAAGCCACCAAGCCTCTTGGGCTTGCCAGTTGCAAGGTCAGCAGTTTGAATTTGTGTGATGGGGTGAGCTCCTGCTACTTTGTCCCAGCTCCTGCCAATCTAGCAGTTCAAAAGCATACTAGCGTGAGTAGATAAATAGGTACCACCGTGATGGGAAGATAAACAGCGTTTCCATGCGCTCTAGCTCTTATCACAGTGCTCTGTGCGCCAGAAGTAGTTTAGTCATGCTGGCCACATGACCCAGAAAGCTGTCTGTGGACAAACGCCGGCTCCCTCAGCCTGAAAGCTGAGATGAGGTCCACACCTCATAGTCGAATTCAACTGGACTTTACCATCCAGGGGTCCTTTATGTAGGCACCCTATGTAACACACCCTAATAATTGCCTTAGATGTTCTTAAGGTTTTAAAATATGTTTTTAAATTTGTATTGCTGCTTTGTTGTTTGCTGTCCTGGGCTCCTTTGGGAGGATGGAGAGGACAGAAATATACTACTACTACCAATATAATGTCTAGAACCACAACAAGGAAGAACAGGCTGGCAGGGTAGATGAGAAGATGGGTGTCCCACAGCTTATTTGGGTATTGGGTAGAGGTATATACTGTCCAAGCATCCTGATTTTCCAGGGACAATCCCAAAATTACAGAAGCTGTCCCAGTTTCTCATTTGATCCCAGAATTTCCTGGCTTTCCTTCCGGAGCTGTTGGTGACCTCCTTGCAGAACTGTACTGGTCACCAGTGTTACCATGGAGATGTTCTAGGCTAGATTCATGATGTCACAAGCTGGACAAGCTGAAAAGTCTCGGGGTTCATCCACATTTCTCCTTGTTCCACTCACTTATTTTCCCCTGGGAAAACCACTCTTTAGCACTCTATCCCAGCAAATGGCATTTTGGGTTTTTCTCTGGATTGACGTTTGCTCCAGTTTAGCATCGAGGAGGAGATGTTCCCTGGAAAAGGATCAGGACAAGGGGAGAACCGCTCAGACCTGTGCTTTCTAGACACAAGGCAAGCTGCAGTGTGCACGATCGCTCAGCAAACAGACAGTCAAATGTCAAAGCCGGGCCTGAATGCTCTCATGGTGAATCTTCAATACAGGCAATAAAAGGTTTTTTTATAAAAATTGTGGCTGTGCTAACTTTTACAGTAGGGGGAAGTTTTTTGGAACAATTTGCAGAGGGGTTTTGTGTGTATTGGTGTATCTGTTTAGGGAAGCTTTTATTGTTTAATAGGTTATTGTATTTTAGTGTTTTGTTGGAAGCCGCCAGAGTGGCTGGGGAAACCCAGCCAGATGGGCGGGGTATAAATAATAATAACTACTTCTTCTTCTTCTTCTTCTTCTTCTTCTTCTTCTTCTTCTTCTTCTTCTTCTTCTTCTTCTTCTTCTGTCATGTCTACATTTTGGTGCCCATTATACATCCAACCAGTCAATGCATTCTGCAGGGAGGGTTCCTTATGGACCCAGGGCCTTTAGCATGGTGGCACCTTCAATATGGAACGTGATGCTTTTGAATTCTGGTGCTGGAGGAGACTCTTGAGAGTCCCATGGACTGCAAGAAGATCAAATCTCTCAATTCTTAAGGAAATCAGCCCTGAGTGCTCACTGGAAGGACAGATCGTGAAGCTGAGGCTCCAATACTTTGGCCACCTCATGAGAAGAGAAGACTCCCTGGTGTTGGGAAAGATGGAGGGCACAAGGAGAAGGGGACGACAGAGGACCAGATGGTTGGACAGTGTTCTCGAAGCTACCAGCATGAGTTTGACCAAACTGCGGGAGGCAGTGGAAGACAGGAGTGCCTGGCGTGCTCTGGTCCACAGGGTCACGAAGAGTCGGACACGACTAAACGACTAAACAACAACAACAACCAGTTATATATCGTACCTTTTGGTGCTTTTGAATACCTTTCTTCCTGAACCAGCCAGTTAAGCAGAGAACTTTTTCACAGTCTGTATCTGTATTGGATTTGAAATTGTTTTTATATATAGGATTGTTTTTAGATATGAAAGACCTTTATTTATTTCTTATTGTTGTTTCGTAGGAAGAAATTCGTAAGTGAAATGAACCAATAAGAGGAAGTTTCATGTGTGCGTACTCTTCAGAAATGACCACACCATGCTGAGTGTGTAATTGAAGTCCATCCTGGTTATCATGACCCTTTGGACAGTGAGTTCTCACAGATTTAGGGGGCACATTAAATGAGGAGGTGGGAAGTCCCATCACATGAGGGATTGTTGTATCCATGTATGCAACAAGTTCATTGAATCCCACCCAATGAACCAAAGTTTATCATGCATATTCATTTCAATGGGTCTACTTTGAGTAGGACAAACATTGGTAACACCCTAAAATAATACCTCACTCTAATGAAAGTGTTTTGTCAGGAAAGGCCAGGCCAAACTTACATGTCCTCCCCACCCTCCCAAACTGACCCATGTTGAGACCAGAGAGCCACCTTCTGCAAATTCTCATAAACATGTTTTCCTCCAACTTTGCACTTGGGCCGTAAGCCACACAGAGACTCCAGGATGTTGCCAAGGTGATGCTTCTCCCCTTATAATTATCCTTCTTCCTGCCAAAGCTCCGGGGATTTAACTAGAGATCGCCTTTGAAAAAAATCAACTAAACATCAGACTCAAGAGCAATATGAGGTAACTTCTTGCACTGGACCTGAATGGTTCCCTGCCTAAACATATGTGCTCTTGAGAGCCTGTCTTCCAGATTCCCAAGTGCCATAACTTCCATGATATTGTCTGAGGTCTTCCCTATTCCTAGGATTTCAGTAATAGAAGTCAGAGCTATTTAAGTGCTACCTTTCTTCTGACATGCCCTCACAGCCTCAGTTGGTTCGTACACCCAAGAGGGCATCTCCCATTATTCTTCCACATCAGCCCTCCATTCCTCCTTCTAACTCCCACAGCAGAACTGCCTCCAACTGTCACTTTCCCAGAGTTCCAATTTCCTTGGCAACCATTGTCAAGAATGCCTAAAACTATTCTGACTAGATGACTTCCCTCCACCATTCCCTGAGTTCCATATTTGTCCTTTTCTACTGCGTAATTTATATCAATCAGATATTCCATTTGTTCATTATATCCCAAGTCTTTGTTACCTTCAAGTGCTAGATAAGCCCTGTCAGTTGTTTAGAGTGGTCTTCCAAATACGCTATAAATTTTCCCTACTCTTTATTAAAGTCTTGATCTTCCTGGTTTCTGATTTTCCCAGTCATTTTTTGCCATTTCAGCCTAGTCCATCAATTTAATTTGCCATTCCTCTATGGTAGGGACCTTGTTGTCTTTCCATCTCTGGGCCACAAGCATTCTAGCAGCTGCCATTGGGTACATAAACAGCCTTTTTCTGCTGCTTCAGTATTTCTGCACCTATAATTCCTAATAAGAAAGCTTCTGGTTTTTTTAACAAACATTATCTTAAACATTTTTTCCCTCAATTCATTATAAATCATTTCCCAGAGTTCTTTCATTATTTTACAATTCCACCACATATGATAAAAGGTAGGGAAGGCCAATTTCTAAGTCCTGTGTCTGGTTGGGGGATAATTTTGCTTTGCTCTGTGCTCATAAAGGAGCCCTGAGCTGTGATAAAGCAATATGTTTTAGACACAACTATGTGTGTTTGAGTTCTGTAGCACTGGATATAATCAATTTTGAATATTTTAAAATATAAATGGCATCTTAATCTTTTGTTGTCAGGTGCTCCTTTGTATTCAGATCAGGCCTCAGAAAAATAATGTAGCATTTGGGAATGAAGATGCAGCTCAGAAGCCCAGCACTGGAGGCCAACATAGCGAAAACCTGAACGGCTACCATGTACTTCCCCTTGGTGCTCAGGTAGGTGGGCACAAAGGACACCCAAACACTGCAGAAGACCAGCCTGCTGAAGGTGATCAGCTTGGCTTCATTGAAGGCCCCAGGTAGCATCCTGGCTAGGAAAGCCACTGTGAAGCAGATGGCAGCCAGGAAGCCCATGTAGCCAAGGGAACCATAAAATATGGCAACAGACCCTTCATTACACTGCAGGATGATCTCTCCAGCCCGGGAATGCATGTCAGAGTCAGGGAATGGAGGAGACATGCCAGCCAGATGGTGCAGATGACAACTTGGACACTGGATCAGGAAATGACAATGAAGTTGGCCAGACCCCAGCCATCTCCTCACCCTGCTCCCTGGCTTGGTGGCCAGGAAGGCCAGCATCACAGTGATGTTTTTTGCTAATACAGAAGAAACAGCAACTGAGAAGATAAGGCTGAAGACTGTTTGTCTGAGAAGGCAGGTCACTTTCCTTGGCCAG